AAGACTGACGTGACTGGTACACTGAACGACAAATTGTAAGTCCATACTTACTTTTCTTCAGATATGTTGTGATACTTTATCTTCATTCTTCGAATTCTTACGCCAATTTCTATAATTAGTACATATAACGAAGAAAAAACACCCTAGTTGAGAAAGATTTGGACACCTACAATTCACAATCTCAAACTAACAAAATTAGAGCCTCAAAATTGGAACACGTTGTTCATAAACAAAAGAAACCTTACATAGAAACGGTGTAACAAAATGAAGTGCGCCACTATTCGATGAGACAAAAGCACAAATATTATACCACTAATTAGTGGTACTCAACTACGAAGTGATAAATGAAATACATACAAACACTGGACCTAGCACACCGACATTACAGAATAGATTACTTTAGTATCTTGATTGAGTTACCATAGTGGACTTATCAGATATAATGAGTTGGTTGACAAAGGCCTCACGGGCACGAACAACTTGACTAACTATCAGGCTATATCATCTGTGATGTTCAGAGATGTCTGCTTCCCTGAAGAATCACAGGTATACAGTCAAGAGTCAAATCCGTAATCTAAGCTGACCGTCCAGCCAGTCATGTGCACCGGTTTAAGCTGCCACACTACATTAACTAACGATTGCTGAAGGTCGATGATACTACAATATCACAGGTTTTGGAAGATGAGTCCATCCTAGGATATATTGTTTTACATTCATATCTATTGTTTTATCATAGAATTCAGTCATATACTTGTCTCCTTGCTTACAAGTTTTATACCAGTAGCAAATGTTTAGAAAGTGATATCATGTGGAGAAAACAAACACTTGTGGTTTGTATGAGGTAAATTTCTTTAAAGAGCATTGAAATAACGCGGTGAATAAATCCTGAATGGCCGATGAATGTACGATCAAACTGTGTTTAAGACCAGGTTAATGAGTGGAACGGTAGCTTTGTGGCTAGAAAGCTTGACATTTTACCACTAGGTACCGGTTTCGAAGCCTGGAACACCTACTTTGGTCTGGGTAACCAGATAGTATCAGCGACCTTAAGTGTGGCCTAGCGCAGGCAACCTTAACCTATAAATGAGCTACAAAACTAAGCCAATAGAAATAATTTTATGGAATACCTTTCTACGTAACCTTCCGGTGACCCTTTCGTTTACCTCCGATTTGGATGTACGTATGGATATGCTATGAACATAAATATTTAACCTAACTCCGTATATTAACTGGGTTAACGCCGTTTGTGACAGCAACAATAAGAGGCTGAATACGGGTTGCGTTGGATGGATTTATCTCAAGCACTCGTTTGTCCAGACATATTCAGAACGAAAGCAGAAAAGCGAAGAAGAGTTGGCTCATTCACCTTCGCCAAAATCACAGCGGTTCTGGAATCTATCACCACTATGATGAAACTATACGAAATATTACTGATACCGTTTCCCGATACTCAAAATGAAGTTGAAGAGTTTCTTTGAATACATTTCGTTACAAGTTTTGGACGAAACCTCAACAGGTAGTACGTCTTAAACGATCACATTTCTATCCGAACTAACTAGTTATTTATATTACGAGTGAAGTTCCAGGGAAAGAGGCAACGTCAGTTGACAATATTACAAGACCAGTAGCCGGATTGGATGGCCCGGACATTTTGTACCAAGAAGTGAGTGGAGGAAAATCTATCATAAGGCTATGACATAACACAAGTGCGTACTCACTGACATGGTCTAGACGAAGAAAGCTCCTTGTCTACGACTCTATATGGCAGACAAGGATCGGAAAGGATCAGAACCGATTGTGGTGGAGGGTATGTACTAATTGCTTATTACTCCGAATCTACCTCATGCAAACAGATAATGTTTTTGTTTATTGGTACTCTCTTCGTACGTTGTTGAGTAATACGGTAAGAATATACGGGTCTCACTTCGTTTATGTTACATATTGAAGGGTTATTTCCTTCGGAACCTGCAGACCGAATTAAGATAGGAGTGTGATACTTCCATTTGTCTTCTACTTCTATCTAGACGGCCAAACAGCTGTTCCACAAGTTTCTTATTTCTATGATTCTCATTTCTATCAGTGCTTTCAAAAAATGGAATCATAAATCGTACTATGATGATATTTCTCTGGTGTCTTGAGAGGCTAAAATTTCGAGGTTTACAGTCAGGGTAATCTAAATTTATTGCCATGGATAAAAAAGATAAAGACCTACATAGATCAATCTGTCGTTTAAATTAAAGGACTAAGGTTTGAATGAACGCTTTGTTTGGTATGCATCAAAGCAACATGACCTAAAGACTTGGAAAGTCTGACATCTTGATGGTTTGAGCTTAAGATACTAGACATAAACTCTCACGCGTGCAAGGAATCAAACATCCAGATATTTAATGGTATTTAAGTGCCATTGAATTGCAGTAATGAACATAATTAAATATTTTGAAAGTTAGAAAGTCTCTGAAGTAATATTGAATACGTACATGTAGAGTTAGCAAATCTAACACCCAATAATTCTGGTTTTACCACCTCGTCTGCGAAATCAGCTGTCGTACTCCAAACGAAAGCTCTATTGCTGCTGCAGTTTGGACGTAAGTACATATTTTTGAGGAGGTAATGGTTGGCACAAACCTAAATTGTAGTAAAGTGATGTGTATAAGAACCTTATACGTGCGATCCCGACGCATCAATAAGCGATAGCATCCACTGGTCCTGTTACGTAGAATTTTTAACACTCCAACCCCACGCTCCTTCCATTCTGGGGGATCGTCAATAGTGTCGAAACGAAACAGCTGTGCTCTCCTGAAAGATTAAGTGACCGGATTTAAATAAAAAGGTACTGTTTGAATAAGCACTCTTCATTCTCCTCGGAACTACAGACTGTTAAAGGGGGAAGAGTAATAACAGGCTCAAAATATAGGTCAGGGTCTTCGTGCTAGCAATTTAACAAGAGGAATTATTCGTACTTCTGAGACGCTATGCATTATCGCCACTATTAATTGAAAAGGCCAGCTAGTAGTTTGTTTGCGTCTAAGTAATTTACGTTTGCGCAGACGAGGTACAGTGACAGCGGACCAGACACCACGAGATTCTAAAAGGAGAAATATGTAGTGTTAAGTCAAAAGCCAAACACTGTTATCAGATTTACTAACGACAACAACCAACAGGAATTACTGATGAGTGTGTAAACTAAAAATCAACTTGCAATGTGTAAAGATATCAAAGCAACACAACGGCTATCCAATGACCACTCAAGGTTGTTGTGCATTCAACATCCAATAGGCTAATGGAATATGTCGACCTCATTTTGTTTCTAGTATTAGTCTTAGATATTTACCAGAGTCTTTAGTGGTACGTTGAAGCCTTCAATTGCCATAGTTCTGTTACACCTATGAATTGTCTGTTGATTGAAGCATTTTCAGGGAATATATGATGAATGAAAGTGAGACCGTTCAGAGTATATCTGGTTGTATCACACGAATGTCATTTACGGGTTGATGTTTGGAATAATTCCAAAGTTAAAAGTGAAAAGAATACGTATATTCTGCCTTTTCGCCTCCTGTAATGTAAATACTCCACTGTATCAAATGAAATTACAATCATTAGACATAGGTAGTTATCATGTTAGTTTAAGTGGACAGCACTTTAGTGTTCGGCATTATAACAAACCCACACAGGTTATTCTAGTTTCCGGACAAACCAATCTGTCTACTCTCACGGAGCTACATTTTGACCTTGTCTTTTATTCGCCTATTAACCCTAACTGTTTTTATATGACCATGTGTGTGTATTGCTTACCCTATTCATCATATGTCCGTAATTTACTTTTGTCTGATTACAACTAACAATTCACGCTTGATTATATGGATTTGGCTCACTAACCTTCACTGCGTACCATTTCGTTTCACTTCGCTCTTTTCTCTTCGCTGTCTTCACTCCGTCTACCTGAAGTCAGATCAAGGGTCACTAAAAATGATGAGCTCTACCACGAACCCAACCTAGGGCCAAAAAGATCATTAACTGTAGGAGTTTAGTGCAGGATGCACACCAGCCCAGACTTCAATGTTCTTCCGAAGGTATTCACTATATTAAACAGGTAGAAAAGTAGTTACGTGTTCTGATACTACTGCCTACAACTCAAATATATATTTCTACTCAGTCATCGCTCGTCTTTCTCTTTCTGTCCAGACAACAATTCGATAGAAGAAAATTCCTCGACAGTTTCGTTAGGAGCTGCCTCATTCATATTCATTTCTATAACCATTATTAATATGTTCAAGTGAAACAGTTGCAGGAACCAAGGCTAAGATAACGTTTTCCCTCCTCATTTTTAGTGACCCTTGATCTGACTTCAGGTAGACGGAGTGAAGACAGCGAAGAGAAAAGAGCGAAGTGAAACGAAATGGTACGCAGTGAAGGTTAGTGAGCCAAATCCATATAATCAAGCGTGAATTGTTAGTTGTAATCAGACAAAAGTAAATTACGGACATATGATGAATAGGGTAAGCAATACACACACATGGTCATATAAAAACAGTTAGGGTTAATAGGCGAATAAAAGACAAGGTCAAAATGTAGCTCCGTGAGAGTAGACAGATTGGTTTGTCCGGAAACTAGAATAACCTGTGTGGGTTTGTTATAATGCCGAACACTAAAGTGCTGTCCACTTAAACTAACATGATAACTACCTATGTCTAATGATTGTAATTTCATTTGATACAGTGGAGTATTTACATTACAGGAGGCGAAAAGGCAGAATATACGTATTCTTTTCACTTTTAACATTGGAATTATTCCAAACATCAACCCGTAAATGACATTCGTGTGATACAACCAGATATACTCTGAACGGTCTCACTTTCATTCATCATATATTCCCTGAAAATGCTTCAATCAACAGACAATTCATAGGTGTAACAGAACTATGGCAATTGAAGGCTTCAACGTACCACTAAAGACTCTGGTAAATATCTAAGACTAATACTAGAAACAAAATGAGGTCGACATATTCCATTAGCCTATTGGATGTTGAATGCACAACAACCTTGAGTGGTCATTGGATAGCCGTTGTGTTGCTTTGATATCTTTACACATTGCAAGTTGATTTTTAGTTTACACACTCATCAGTAATTCCTGTTGGTTGTTGTCGTTAGTAAATCTGATAACAGTGTTTGGCTTTTGACTTAACACTACATATTTCTCCTTTTAGAATCTCGTGGTGTCTGGTCCGCTGTCACTGTACCTCGTCTGCGCAAACGTAAATTACTTAGACGCAAACAAACTACTAGCTGGCCTTTTCAATTAATAGTGGCGATAATGCATAGCGTCTCAGAAGTACGAATAATTCCTCTTGTTAAATTGCTAGCACGAAGACCCTGACCTATATTTTGAGCCTGTTATTACTCTTCCCCCTTTAACAGTCTGTAGTTCCGAGGAGAATGAAGAGTGCTTATTCAAACAGTACCTTTTTATTTAAATCCGGTCACTTAATCTTTCAGGAGAGCACAACTGTTTCGTTTCGACACTATTGACGATCCCCCAGAATGGAAGGAGCGTGGGGTTGGAGTGTTAAAAATTCTACGTAACAGGACCAGTGGATGCTATCGCTTATTGATGCGTCGGGATCGCACGTATAAGGTTCTTATACACATCACTTTACTACAATTTAGGTTTGTGCCAACCATTATCTCCTCAAAAATATGTACTTACGTCCAAACTGCAGCAGCAATAGAGCTTTCGTTTGGAGTACGACAGCTGATTTCGCAGACGAGGTGGTAAAACCAGAATTATTGGGTGTTAGATTTGCTAACTCTACATGTACGTATTCAATATTACTTCAGAGACTTTCTAACTTTCAAAATATTTAATTATGTTCATTACTGCAATTCAATGGCACTTAAATACCATTAAATATCTGGATGTTTGATTCCTTGCACGCGTGAGAGTTTATGTCTAGTATCTTAAGCTCAAACCATCAAGATGTCAGACTTTCCAAGTCTTTAGGTCATGTTGCTTTGATGCATACCAAACAAAGCGTTCATTCAAACCTTAGTCCTTTAATTTAAACGACAGATTGATCTATGTAGGTCTTTATCTTTTTTATCCATGGCAATAAATTTAGATTACCCTGACTGTAAACCTCGAAATTTTAGCCTCTCAAGACACCAGAGAAATATCATCATAGTACGATTTATGATTCCATTTTTTGAAAGCACTGATAGAAATGAGAATCATAGAAATAAGAAACTTGTGGAACAGCTGTTTGGCCGTCTAGATAGAAGTAGAAGACAAATGGAAGTATCACACTCCTATCTTAATTCGGTCTGCAGGTTCCGAAGGAAATAACCCTTCAATATGTAACATAAACGAAGTGAGACCCGTATATTCTTACCGTATTACTCAACAACGTACGAAGAGAGTACCAATAAACAAAAACATTATCTGTTTGCATGAGGTAGATTCGGAGTAATAAGCAATTAGTACATACCCTCCACCACAATCGGTTCTGATCCTTTCCGATCCTTGTCTGCCATATAGAGTCGTAGACAAGGAGCTTTCTTCGTCTAGACCATGTCAGTGAGTACGCACTTGTGTTATGTCATAGCCTTATGATAGATTTTCCTCCACTCACTTCTTGGTACAAAATGTCCGGGCCATCCAATCCGGCTACTGGTCTTGTAATATTGTCAACTGACGTTGCCTCTTTCCCTGGAACTTCACTCGTAATATAAATAACTAGTTAGTTCGGATAGAAATGTGATCGTTTAAGACGTACTACCTGTTGAGGTTTCGTCCAAAACTTGTAACGAAATGTATTCAAAGAAACTCTTCAACTTCATTTTGAGTATCGGGAAACGGTATCAGTAATATTTCGTATAGTTTCATCATAGTGGTGATAGATTCCAGAACCGCTGTGATTTTGGCGAAGGTGAATGAGCCAACTCTTCTTCGCTTTTCTGCTTTCGTTCTGAATATGTCTGGATAAACGAGTGCTTGAGATAAATCCATCCAACGCAACCCGTATTCAGCCTCTTATTGCTGCTGTCACAAACGGCGTTAACCCAGTTAATATACGGAGTTAGGTTAAATATTTATGTTCATAGCATATCCATACGTACATCCAAATCGGAGGTAAACGAAAGGGTCACCGGAAGGTTACGTAGAAAGGTATTCCATAAAATTATTTCTATTGGCTTAGTTTTGTAGCTCATTTATAGGTTAAGGTTGCCTGCGCTAGGCCACACTTAAGGTCGCTGATACTATCTGGTTACCCAGACCAAAGTAGGTGTTCCAGGCTTCGAAACCGGTACCTAGTGGTAAAATGTCAAGCTTTCTAGCCACAAAGCTACCGTTCCACTCATTAACCTGGTCTTAAACACAGTTTGATCGTACATTCATCGGCCATTCAGGATTTATTCACCGCGTTATTTCAATGCTCTTTAAAGAAATTTACCTCATACAAACCACAAGTGTTTGTTTTCTCCACATGATATCACTTTCTAAACATTTGCTACTGGTATAAAACTTGTAAGCAAGGAGACAAGTATATGACTGAATTCTATGATAAAACAATAGATATGAATGTAAAACAATATATCCTAGGATGGACTCATCTTCCAAAACCTGTGATATTGTAGTATCATCGACCTTCAGCAATCGTTAGTTAATGTAGTGTGGCAGCTTAAACCGGTGCACATGACTGGCTGGACGGTCAGCTTAGATTACGGATTTGACTCTTGACTGTATACCTGTGATTCTTCAGGGAAGCAGACATCTCTGAACATCACAGATGATATAGCCTGATAGTTAGTCAAGTTGTTCGTGCCCGTGAGGCCTTTGTCAACCAACTCATTATATCTGATAAGTCCACTATGGTAACTCAATCAAGATACTAAAGTAATCTATTCTGTAATGTCGGTGTGCTAGGTCCAGTGTTTGTATGTATTTCATTTATCACTTCGGAGTTAATCATCACTAATTACTAATATTTAAGCTATGATTTTGCGTTTTTTGTCATTGTGCTTGTTGATAGGTAATTGGATTGATCCATCACTTATCACGTAGTAGTTTTTTTTATTCAGGCTACTCGTTTGAGTTTGAGCTAATTACTTACCGAATGCTTTTAATTGGATAAGATAATTTCCTAAAAATGTTTTGCTTGTTATTCGTAGTTAATAATGATTTAAGAAAATGCTTTTATAAGATGTTGCTTCGCTTGAAGTTTGTTAAATACGTGGTCATTATTCGGCTGGTTGTGATCCTAACTTTTGTTTTGTTTTATTAAGATGCAGAAGATTTTCGGAAAGTTTTTGTGGAAGGTTGTCAAGCAAGTGAGGAAAAACTAACTGAGAATAGTAAGTCTTTACTTAATTACAGATATTTATGTGTATCCAAGAATAAAGCGTGTATTATTTCAGTTACATACAAATTTTGTTGTTGATGTTATGTCTAGTGTTTTCTGATGGCTAGCAGAGATATTCGTGACGTAGGTTTTTAATTGCAAGTTTTCAGTGTTGCTTGCATGCATCCTGATAAGAATACTAACTGACATTTAGCGTTATAACTGTAGTCACTTTTTATTCACCGAGCGTCGTTTGTTATTGTTTTTTATCCTACTATTTTTGTCTCATCGGATCAAACACTTCTGTACTTCATATCAATTATTTGTGAGCTATTTGCTATATGAGACATTGAGTTTTGAGGAAAACTATTGCTTCTTCATTGTCTCTAGATTCTCTCCTACTAACAACAACCTGGATGAAGTCAAAAATATATTTTATCGAAAACCGAGATGTAGTAATCGTAGCGGACAAATTTATTTTTAGCGGACCTAGACGTCAAGCCTGAAAAATCACTATTTGTTTTGTTGACTCCCGATATAACTACTACGGTGGGACCAACCTTATCGATATTAGTCCTAGTTGCAGAGCATCAACGGAATGCTGTCACCCCTTTGAAATAACATATTTGTCTGAGTCTGGAAAATCTGTTGAAGCTTTTGTCGATGGCTAAAATGTTTATATGTTTAGGGAAGAACTAGCTAAGGACTTAGGCAATTATTAAAGGGCTCTTCACCAAAGTCGGTCCAGAACAATCTGCACTGCGGTAAAAATGTACAAGTTATGTTTGTTAGTAACGTAGATAGAATGGTAAAGAAGGATCGGTGGACTTAGGAAGCCAGTTGAGAAGTATATATCCAAAATGATAAATTCTTTGATTTGTGACAATCATATTAAACACGTTAGTCTTCATAATAATACATGATTTAAATAACCCAGTCGTTGACATTTTGACTCCACAGAAGTGTCCGTATGTATTTTTTTATCATAGGAGCCTCAAAATTGCAAACTACGTTGCTTTATGGATCACTTTTGAGACTCTAAAGTCTAATACAGTTAATACAACTCATCAACCTAGTTTGTAACTAAACATTTATAATATATGTTTGAATCATCTCAAAATATGCTTGACATGGCATATTATAATAAAAGTGACCTTATCATACTAGAATATTGATTTACATGTTTAGCAGGAACTACTTATTCGATGATCTGTTAAATCCATGAGAGAACCTCAGCAACCTAACCTTCTTAAACGTTGTACATACCTATTAATGTCATTCAGCAAGAAATGCCCAAATACCTCAATATTGTTATATCAAGCACTTTTGTAAGTCAGTTTAAAAAGATTACTACACACTCAGTTGTTTCGTTAGCATTCGTTAAACAATCCCCCATTTCGTAGTATTTGTTATATGACAAAAATAGCATATACACTTTTTACCACAACTGCTAACCTGGAACAGCCGTTAACGTTCAATAAATTCTTAATTAAATTATGCTTAAAGCACTTAAATGTACCTTAAAAATGTAGGTAAGTCTACGGAAGTATTGGATAACAGCCAGAATTATTTTACTTTCAGTAATATTACCTGCTCTCCCCACATTTGTTACTATTAAGTTCTTTAATCAAAAGCTGTATTAAGTTGGAAAACATTAGCCGACCTAGGTTTGGAGATATCCAGATTATACTCTCTGAGAACAACCGAAACTATGTGGAGCATATTTCAAGAAGTTGTCTTCCAACTTATATCAGTTTCTAGTAAGAACTGTTACTAATTCAGTAGTACAACGAAAAAATTTGTATGTGAATGTTAATCATTGGTTTATTCATAGTACCACTTGGATGTCCGAAAATTTATAATTCAAGTACATCTATGTTAATTGGGAATGTAAAGATCAGTCTGTCACTAATAAAACAATAGTTCTACACCGATATCACCATATGAAGTCGTTCAGCTTGTAGTAAGTTTCATTGTCACACGCTTGCATAGTTTGTTCTAACCTTTGAACAGACGAATTATGTTAGTCCCTCCAGTCGTTTTACCATTGATACATGTCAGTATCTGTGTTCATATACTAAGATGTACCTTTAATCCATATAAATATTAAGTCACGTTTGACTAAACAAAATGACCAAGTTTGTCTTGCCTGCTTCTCGTCTCTTGTCTATCTGTAGTGTCAGTCATTATTTTAAGCCCATAATATATCTTATTCTAGTTTTTGGACAAACCAATCTGTTCATTCTACTTGAGTCATATTTTGACCTTGTCAATTATTCGCTTGTCAGTGTTGACTGTTTTTATATGAGCGTGTATGTTTGTGTACACTTCATATCCCATGTCTCACCACATGTCTGTAGTCTATTTTGTCTACCTATAAATATTGCGTAACGCCTGGCTAGAGATGGGGTTGGCTTACCAGCCATACAATACACCGTTGCGCGTCATTTCGCTTTGTTCTATTACATTCACTTTACATACAAAATATATATATTCAAAGGCCATTCTCGTTAATTGACTTATCTAAATTCCGTTATTGACTAACGTGGTTTAAGTCGATAATTGTATACGAGGATAGGTGATACCAAACAGTCATACGATCTAAGTGGAGTCAAATCAACGGGCCACTAAATATCTGTGTCAATGGGTGTATGAAACATATGTATCCAAAACCACTCTCGTATTTCATTCTGTGATCCACTAACACGAAGTTTATTTAAGTATACGTAGTTAATTAAGTAACTATATTTCATCGTTCCTCATCAATATCAAATTGGGTCAACAACGAACATAAAAGTAGTGTGTTACTTGATAAACTGTGATTCGTATCCGCTGAACACACAATGACTTAGTTGTTGAAACAGACAACTTCCAGTTTGTGCACCTCAGTTTGTAATAATGCTTTCTGGAACTTTGAAATTAGCAACTTAGTGTTTCACAAACTTTTCCGCCGTTTCAGGCACAATGTTTTACAACCGGATAGCTCTTACCCATCTGGTGAATCGGTCAATACAATTTAGTATATAAGTTAAATTACTGGGTGGTAAGTGTCCGAAAATATCGATATTCATATGCTCGGACTTCAGTCTGGTGCAGAAAATCCTCTTATAGGCGATTCTAGTACGTGTTGTTGGACTTCCGACTTCTGACATTACGTGCATGATTTCGTCCATATTTGTAAGTCGCTACTTATATTTGGTCAGACGTATGTCTTTGATAAGCTTTTTACGCCTGAGGGAGATATACCATTAGATATCTCAAACATGATGTGTCACCTTCTATGGTATACAAACATGTTCTTTATCTTCAATTCTGTCTTATTAGATCCTCAAAGTCCGTTCAGTTCAGTATCAGTCTTCTGCAGCTTTGAGATCTCGATGTAATTTATGTCCGTTGCAGTTAATCTATTAATGCTTGTCATTGATAAAGTGTCTGCAACGTAATTTGTACTACCTTCTACGCGCTATATATCATACGTAAATTGTGATGTAAATTTTTATCTTGTGTTGTGAAATGATTCTGCTCTCGTATAATTAGAAATCTTTTTATCCATTGTAAGTGAGAATTACTGTTATATTTAGTGTTTTAGTTTTTCGGGATCCTGATTCTCTTAGAATATTTATCATTCCTTATTTGCAGGATCCAGCATTGAAGATACTCATTCTGATAAAGAGGATAAAACTGATGATATTGGCACGCTCTCGAATTCTGTCAAAGAATGCTTGAATATTGCCTCACCAGATACCAACTCTCCTGTTCATTGCAGTTCGATAAGAACCGATGCTTGAATATCTCATTATTGAGACTTTTTTCATAAACAAATTTAGATCTGTTATACAATATCTAATTTTTTAGAGAAGGTGTCTTATATAATATCTTATTTGTTTTTCATTAAGTAGTTCGTTGAAACCAGTTCTCAAATATCAAGCGCCATTTTTTGTCTTAATAATGCCCTATTCAGAGCTTGAATCTGGTAACTCTGTTACAAATAATATCTACAAGTAGATATGAAATCTTACACCTTATCCAATTATTGTTATTTTAGTAAAGTCATGGGTCTACTAAAAGAGTAGTGAATTAAGTGATTGCCATTAATCGGGTTCTGTGTGTTTGTATATGATTTCTCCATAAAGTAACAGTTGAACCAACAAGGTGATGCATACATTTATAGTCATTGTATCGTCTTTAGTTATTTATTTTCCAAGAATCCTTTTTAAGTTAATTGGCAAGTGTTTTGTCAGTTATCAACATTTGATTCTAATCAATCAGGTTGATGAAAGGATTTTTATTCACAAACTGTCGCACTTCACATCTGCACATAGGATTCGATAGGCCCCAAATGCCCTGGTATGGCCGAGAGTGAGATGGACCCGCCCTCCCTCTCGAAATGATCTCACATGGCCACGCGTATACAGCCTCTGTCAGGGAAGTCCTACTCACTGCCTTCTCATGGCAGGAGTGTTGTTTACAAAGATGAGAGGACGAAAAGCGAATGTCCGGCGCTTTAACCGGATTCCAAACCAATGGTGTACATGGACACCAGTATATTGAGGGGACAAATGGCGTATAAACCAATTGTTAATCACCGGCTTCCATGGGACTGCATCTCCTCATGATGCTCCACTGCCTCGTGGGTCAGACCTTCAGTTCGAAGGCTCGGGGTGTGGCCCCCTAAGAAAACCGCCTGCTTCGGTCTGGACACCCGGGCAGTATCCCAGCCCACACATAGATATGATGGAGTGTTGATATTTATGAGAAATACTTCTCTTGTTTCGATTAACAATCAAACGGTTCATATGATTATTATTCACGTCATCTGTTCACTCTCTTTTATTTCCACTCTACGTATCCTTATTTACAGCAGCTCGCCTATGGTGGCAACTCGGTTCTATCTAGATGATCTCGAGTCACTGCCTAGTCGAAAGTTAAATGCTTCCACCGAATACGAATACTCAAACAGTCTTTTTGAAACCACGTACGCGATTCAAACTGTCTACCTTCAAAGTTCGCACACTTATGCAGGTCGGACAACAGATAGGGCTGGCTACGTTTTTAGAAAGTCTTAATATCGACGTTTGTTGTCTATCCGAGACCCGTATTCAAGACTGCTGAAGAAATTCGCTCTCCATCTGTCGCTTCAAAAAACTTGTTTTACGCGCGTTTATCCGGGGACCCTGTGGCGTCTTCGTCCGGTCTTTCTAACGTTGGTGTCGCACTAAGCGCTAGAGCTGAGGCAGCACTAATCGATTGGATTCCCACTAACAGTCGGTTGTGTGCTGGTAGATTACAAAGTGAGAAGAAATTGGCGGGAGAAACGATGTCTTTTCGTCATCTCCGCCTATGCCGCGACAGATTGCAGCCCGGATGCAATCAAGGATGAATTTTACCACCAGTTAACTCTTCTTCTCCAGAAAGTGCGTTCGACAGATATTGTAGTATTAGCTGGAGACTTGAATGCTCAGGTCGGGCGTCTAGGCACAGAAGGGAGTCGTTTAGGTGGTCGATGGAGACTTGGTGGTCGCACGACATAACGGGGACCGTCTACTGCAACTGTGCACAGACCACAACCTGTTTATGGCTAGCACCAACTTTCGGCATAGTCATCGCCGATGTGCCACCTGGTGTCCTCCCTCTGTATTTCAAACCTGGACTCAGACTGATTACATCGCGATCAGCTACCGCTGGCCTGGTTGTGTACAAGACTGCCGCTCCCTTTGGAGTACCTATCTGGACTCTGATCATGCCCTGGTCTGCGCCAATCTCACCTTACTTTCCAGTGGCCAACGAAGTGACCACCACCAAAGGATTGATGTCAGCAAGTTGGTTGCAACTTCTGTTGGAAGTGAGTATCGAACCGAGCTAGCTTTTATGCTAGCTACCATTCCACCAAAAAGTACAGAAGTATGGAGAATTGGTTGCAACTTCATGACGCCATGAAAATAGAGGGTACAGTCAGTTGTGGGTTCGCGAAACGTCCCGCTTATAAGCACTGGTTTTCTTCAGGCTCCTTAAAACTCATCGAAGCCCGTCGGTCTACTACGGGTGACCGTGAATTTGACCACAAACGAAGGCTGATACGTAATGAGATCGGGAAAAGCTTGCGTAAGGACCGAGAAACCTGGTGGTCGGAGCGTGATAATGAGCTGTAAGCAGCAACTGCATCTGGTAACAACCGGAAGCTCTCTCAACTCATCCGAGCCACTGGCAGCAAGAATTCTGGTGTGAGCGAAACAATCTGTGAGGATGATGGGATGCCAGTCACTAACATCCATCGACGTCTTGGACGATGGGCAGAATTCTTCGAAGGGCAGTTCAACTGGCCTGCTGCCCCAGCAACATCGGTCGGACTGTCCTGCCCTCCATGGCCGGTGACGACTGATCCACCAAATGAGGCGGAAGTCCGCAAGGAACTCCAACTCTTGAAGCGTTACAAATCACCTGGCCCAGATGACTTACCTCCGGCTCTTTTTAAAGATGGTGGTGACTTTTTTACTAAAGAATTGACGACGTTGTTTACAAAGGTTTGGGAATTAGAGTGTACCAACTTCATGGAATGAGTCGATAGTTATCCCTATCTTTAAAAAGGGTTCACGTCGTTCCTGCAACAACTATCGGGGGATAAGTATACTTCCGATTGCGTCCAAGCTATTGGCTTCCGTCATACTTCGTAGGTTGTTCAAAACTCGGGAAAGATTGACTCGCGAGGAGCAGGCTGGTTTTCGTTCTGGTCGAGGATGTATTGATCATATCTTCACCCTCCGCCAAATGTTAGAACATCGCCATACTTATCAAAGGCCAACAGTCGTAGTGTTTCTTGACATCAGAGCTGCCTTCGATTCGTTGGATAGGACTGTTCTCTGGGATTGTCTATTGAATAAGGGTGTGCCTGAGAAGTTTATTAACATCCTTAAGGCCCTATATACAAACACTTCAGGCAGAGTGAGGGCACACAACCGCCTTTCTCCATTGTTCCATTCAAGTAGTGGGGTTTGACAGGGTTGCCCAATCCCACCATTCCTCTTCAACTTTGCCATCGATGACATTCTGGAAACAGCTCTGATGGATGTAAGTAATGGTGGCGTAGATCTGTTGCCCGGAGAAAGACTTCTCGACCTTGAGTATGCGGATGATATTGTCTTACTGTGCGATAATGCCCAAGCCATGCAATCCGCACTTAATCAGTTGGCGACCAGTGTCCGTAGGTATGGTATGTGCTTTGCACCTTCGAAGTGCAAAGTACTTATACGAGACTGACAGGATTCTAATCCTGTACTCACCCTGGATGGTGAGCAGATAGAAATAGTCGAGAAGTTCGTGTACCTAGGTGGCTGCAAAAGTGCTGGTGGTGGTGTGAGTGATGAGATCAATGCACGTATAGTGAAAGCCAGAGCGGCTTATGCCAATCTGGGCCATCTTTGGCGCCTTCGTGATGTCAGTCTGGTTGTAAAAGGTCGGGTCTACAACGCGTCGTTGAGAGCAGTTTTGCTCTATGCTTGTGAAACCTGGCCTCTCCGAGTTGAGGACGTTAGACGACTCTCTGTGTCCGATCATCGCTGTCTCCGAAGGATTGCTGACATCCAATGGCAACACCATGTTAGTAATGCAGAGGTTCGGCATCGTGTGTTCGGGCACAGAGACGGTAATGCACTCGGTGTCACCATCTTGAAACACCGACTTCGGTGGCTTGAACATGTTCTGCGAATGTCATCCGAGAGAATTCCACGTGCAATATCTGCCGACGCTGGGACTGATTGAAAAAAGCTGAGAGGTGGTCACTGTATGAAAGAAAGCTGCAAACGGTTGGTTTCTGTTGGTCCTTCACGACTCCCTGGCTGGGGTCCTAGAGATGGTGCGACACAGTGGCTAGGGACGTTATCAGATATGGCTCAGAATAGAAGCCAGTGGCGATCCTGCTGTAACCTTTTACTTTCTTCATAAAAAGTGGTTGTACTTTCCTTAACTGAAAGAATTCTTCCGGTTGTACTTTTCCGTTTCTCCCATTATTATTATTTTTATTACTATTGCACTACCTTACACTAATCTGTTCGTTATTGTTCTGTTTTTTCTCTTCGAATTCTAATTGTTTTGTATGGTGCATATATATTCGGTGCCCTCTTGTACCAATATTTATGTGTTCAAATAAAATAAAAAATTAAACATATGGCTGGCCACATCTCAGAGTCATCTCTACCCCACTAGTGGGAGTAATCTGCAGTGGTAAACAAATCCTCAAAATCAATAGTTTTCGACATTTGATGCTGACCACATTAGTTTAAACGGATTAACCTAGTGGGAGGTGCTCGGTCGTGCATTCGCATCAGCTCATGAGCGGAAACGCTGTCTTCAACTTCTGCTGCAATCGCTAGCCAGTTTAGATCAGTCGATTCTCGATATATTGATATCCTGTCAAATATATTTTCTGACCTCTTCGCTTCTGACTTTTGATTTCACTTGGTGGGCGCGATTCATAGTAGGTGTTACTGGTTACGGTGTTTTCAAACTCCAAATACCTTGGCATCTTCAGTCATATGGAGTGCCTCAAATTATATGTCAGTATCTATCCACAAGTGCTCACATATATAGTCGAAGTGTTAGATATGAGAAGATAATGTGAATTGGAAACGTCGATTCGGTCATAACATTGCGACATAGGGAAGGTAGTGTTGAAAATTCTATGGTTCGAATTCCAGATAGTGTTTTCAGTACACAAACGACATGTTAATCATATACAGTTCCAAGGCCCGGGTGAGTCCGTCCCAATTTATTAATTCTAATACTACTGAGTAAATTCTAAATCATACTGAGTCCGTATCTATTGCGCAGTCAGACAGAAATGCAATGAACCTAAGGAGGACAGGTTTAGTCGACTACAGAAATATGGATTCTCATTCAAGTTGCAAAGGATGTGGTATTTACATGAACTAATGATTCTTTTGTTGTTGATTTCCCAGTGAATACGAATTTGAAATATAGTACGTTCATTTGTGCTCATCTAGTTCTACTTTCTGTAAATTGCACTATTTCGGGAATTCATGATTATTACAATAATGCAAATCATCATATTTTGATAGTGACTAAAGAAGCACGTAAAGCTTTTGTAGGATGGGAATCTCATGGATTTATGATCACTAAAGCATATTTCGAAACAAAGAAGTGGGGTATCACAATATATGTTAGTCTATATTATGTTGTTATAGGGGAACTGAAGACATTTGGCTGGTTAGAAACTTTATATTGAATATTATTAATTTCACTGTTTTTTAGATGTATTTGTTTCACTCAACTTCTGAACTTGTTTGTTCATATTATTATTTTCGGACATTTTGGTTTCTCTTTGGTTTGGTGTTTGGGAGTTTCTTCTCCGGTTTGTTTCTATAATTGTTATAACGATTGTTAGAACGATATTTGGGTCGACTATTTGTAAATTGCAAATAAACTTTGGTACCTGAATTGGGGCTTGGTCCTATTGTTAATTTGGGTTCGTAAATTGCAAATAGATCGATCTACCGTACTTCAATAACGGGAACGAGCAAAAACTTGAACGTGACATGTGCACCCACGGATGTTAACAACAAAGCCGATAAAAACCAATTTTCTGAGAGGCTTCAGTCGATCAAAGTGAAGTGCTCAGGAAAGGACCTGACCATCCTGATAAGAGACTTAAACGCCAAAATCGGAAAGGACAACACCAGGTATCAAGATATCATGGAACGAAATGGACTGACTTAGAAAAACGAACGAGAATGGTGTGAGATTTGCAATTTTATGTGCATTCAACAAACTGATTATAGACGATGCAATCTTCTCACACAAGAAGTATGTACCTAATTTCATGAGTACAAATTTTGGAATACAAGTTAGTCAATCACTTGATGACATAGTTTAGTCGTCATATTTACACATATTAATCAACAGGGTTCAGTAATCTCAACCATCAGTGGATAAATATCAGGTATCAACAATGAATGAGGGTCACTCTAACCTGTCTTATGAAGATAGACCGAGATGACTCAATCAGTTTTGATTATCCTATTGTAGCCTAAAAAGTTATATGATGTTGACATGTAATACAGTAGGTGATTACGCATATATAGTGTTTGATATCTCTACAGTACCAAATCTCTTCTCAAAAATGAAAACGGAAATAGAGGGTGGAAAAATGCGAAAATAAATCTGAATAAGAGTCAATTAGTCAAAATATTCACAGTTTAAGCTGGCTTGTCGTGCGAGGTGAGAAATTATGATCTGAGCGCTTTTGTTTGGGGGTATAGCCAATAGAACCAATAACGAGCATCAATTTTGAGGCGCTAAATATCTGCTAATTTTTCAGGACTTGTTTACTACTCATGCTGAGTGATGAAAGTAAGCCAACATTAAATATTTTTCTCCTAATGTTCATTTCCTCGTAGTGCGCAGGGAAATTACATTTAAAGCGATGCCACACTTTCACAGAACTACAGGCTCTGAAGGTCAATCCAATTTTACTTTGTGCTGCTGAAGAATGATGTTCTGTCTTTCCATTTTGCTGGAAAATTTAGGTTTGTGTGTTGATAACAGAAGGCCTATAGCCTGTGTTAGTCATTTTCAAGTAAGCTCCCGAGAGTGTCTGGTTTTCTCGCGAATGAGTCAATTTAAGGGACGGACACCACCATATTGGTAACCGCTTTGAATAATTGATGATCCGGTTGATCTATATTATTACTATTCACAAGCATCTTATGGGTACATAAGTGTTTGGAAGAAACCATTCCGGGTTTCTTAAAAAATGCAATACTACACAAGTTTCAATAATGCTAGCATCATATTTACCATATTTGAAAAAGAGAATAATAATAAGTCAGGTTGTGTGTAATTGAGAAGAATATGGAATTGACTTTAAAGAAGAAAATAAAGGACTTGAAATAAAAATGAGGTGAAATACGTAAACTGTTTAATAAGCATGTCTATGAACACAGAACAAGAATAAACAACTATGTATCGTCGAGTTGGTAATAAAAAAATAAAATAGAAAATAATTGAGAAAAGATAATTTATTACTGCAGTAAGATATGACGTCGGAATGAGTGTTTGTGCAGTCATAGTTTGGAGTGATACGATGAAAGTCTCAATTAAGTGAAAAGGATAACGAAATATCAATATGTATGAGTCATATATGTATAGTGAAGATAAAATGAGTCTGAGAAGTTAATTTAAGTGTAACACAAGCTATTGTCTTAATTACAAACTTCGTAAACTTAAGAATAATATTTATTTAGAAGGAAAAAAGACACACAAAAAAGAAAGGAACACCTAATGAAAGGGTTAAACTATGATAATAATTGTGTAATGAATTTCGAACTCTGAAGTAAACCAACAATTTGAAAAAAAATTAAATAGGATCTAAAAAATCCTTTTCTGCACTCGGATGTATAATGTAGATTTATGTA